TGCTGTGGAGGCAACAAATCTACACTCCAGTTATTTTCTTTCATTCAAAGAAAACATGTGCGTGTAAGTCCTTCACCAGTTGATATCAGTGGCAATACAAAAACCCAATTACAAACTGAGTTATTATTAGCTAACTAGGAGTAAAATCACTCTATTTGTATTCCTAATCTTTCTTCTCACCCAAGTATGAGTCTTTAGAAGCAGAGGGTTGGAATTTGTAAAAAAGAGAGGCAAAGCACTAATTAAGCCACCCAGTACTGTCTACATTTCACCAGAGATAAAACCTACTCTGCATTTGGGTGGCACAGTAAATTCCTTGATTATAATTATATAAGAGGAAGTTTAATTGTGCATACTGACATGACAAGGGGTTATACCAAAGCTTTAGGGATTATATAAGATCAAGGGTTTTTCATTGGCTCCTTTCTTTTTTTAAATCCTAAAGTCACTAAAAAATTTCAAAATCTTAAGCATTAAGATATATAAAAAGGTACTATATATTAATTCAAAATGATAATAAAAATTCATATAAAAATATAAGAAACATTATTTGTTGTAGGGAATTAGATTAGCAGGTTAGCGACCAGAAATACTTGCCAAATTTAAAAGTTTTTTTATATCTTTGATGTTTCATACCTTCATTTTGAACAGTAAAATGGTAACTAAAGGTTTTCATCTCATTTAAAATGGTATCTGTTTTGTAGAAGAAGTAAGATGTGACCTATATGTGTAAAGTGGTATACAGGTGTTCCCCAATTCTTTTTTTTTTAATATTTTTTAATTTAACTTCATTTATTCATTTATTTTATTTTAACTTGACAAGAGAAGGACAGAGAAAGAGGGACAGAGAGAGAAAGCAAGTCACCAAACCAGGACTCAAACCACGGTCAGTCACATGGGAGACCAACACCCTTAAGCACCACGCCACCTGGCGGCCCCTGTTCCCCATTTCTTAACTTGAAGTAATTGTGAAGTAGCATGCAAAGACCTGGTTGGTTTTCTTGGGGCTAATGACTGCCTGTTCCATGAACATCAGTGAATTATGTAAGTTAGGATGCTCTTCAACATGATGTCTTTCTTGACTATGAGCATTTTTTTGAAAAAATAACAGAGGGAATAAATAAGGTATATGAAAAATCCCCATTGATTTTCATTTATCCCTTATCCAAAAAAAAAAAAGTTGACCCCCCCCCAAACTGTT